GTGCATCTATTAATCATTTTGAGTCTAATATCATCCCATAGTAGAGAGAGAAGAGGGAACTAAATGTCTTTTCCAACTTGAAATATACAGTCACAAAGAATTGTTCATTACACAGAATCTGTACATATCGTGGATCATAAGCATCATTTGGCCACTGAGTGTAGTTTGAGCTCCTCCTCAATGCATCCTGTAAATGTTGTCATACACTCTTAAAAATAAAGGTGCTTCACGATGCCATAGAAGAACCTTTTTTGTCTAAATGGTTTCATAAAGAACCTTTAACATCTGAAGAACCTTTACGTTTCACAAAAGGTCCTTTGTGGTGAAAGTAGGTTCTTCAGATTAAAAAAGTTGCAAAAGAGATGGTTCTTTAAAGAACATTTGACTGAATGGTTCTTTGTGGAACCAAAAATGGTTCTGTGAAGAACCTTTTAAGCACCTTTTTTTTAAAGAGTGTATGTCTTTTACACTTTTTTGTGTTAAAAAATTATAGAATTGTGCTATAATAATCTTTAAAAATACAACTAAATATATAGACTATAAACACTTCAAAAGAAGTGTGAAATATGTTTTCTGTTTTGGAGGGATGATCATTTTAAAATCATTTTTTGATTTATTGCATACATTTTTATTTATTGCATCAAAATTTGTTAAAACTTTACTAGTTAGGGCTGGATAATTGTATCAGCTGTTTATTATTCATGCAACAATACATATTACTGTTACCGTTTTTATTAATAACCATTGCTATATAGAGGATATGTTTGTCTAGTGCTCTTATGAATGTTTTTAGCATGACTTGTGAAAATTTAACTAGCCTACTGAATTTAACTAATTTATTTTAATTTAATATCTAATTTTAGCATCTAATTTAAATTAACTAATTTAACTACTGAATGACACAGCATAGACTTATAGTGTTTGCGTATTTCATTTAATTCTGGAACCTATTGTTCTACAGATCTGTGTACTAGTGTTACACTTACAGGGTTCCCACTCTTTCATGAACACCAGATTCAAGGACTTTTTAAAGCACCATGTATTTTATATCAAGCACCTATTATAGAGGATATGTTTGTCTAGTGCTCTTATGAATGTTTTTAGCATGACTTGTGAAAATTTAACTAGCCTACTGAATTTAACTAATTTATTTTAATTTAATATCTAATTTTAGCATCTAATTTAAATTAACTAATTTAACTACTGAATGACACAGCATAGACTTATAGTGTTTGCGTATTTCATTTAATTCTGGAACCTATTGTTCTACAGATCTGTGTACTAGTGTTACACTTACAGGGTTCCCACTCTTTCATGAACACCAGATTCAAGGACTTTTTAAAGCACCATGTATTTTATATCAAGCACCTATCAAATTCACACAATATGTAGTGTCATGAAAGACCTTACAGTATTTAACATTTCACTTACACTTAACATGTACATTAAAAATTTCAGAGTAATAATGTTTTGAATGTGTAGGTTTCATAAATTTAGACCATTTTGAGCAGTTGTGTTCAAAGGAATTTAATGAAATCCATTGAAGTCAGTACTGGTGATAAATAAAATAAAATTTCTAAAATATTGATAAAATATGCATCAAACTGATTTTTGCTCTAGTTCTTGTACAAGATTTAAATTTGAAAGAATTTCTCAATTTTTAAATTAATAAAAAGTGGTTAAATGTTGTAATAACATGGTAAAACCTGTTAACATGAAAAATTTGCACATTCACTCAAAAGATATGTTACTCATTAATAAATAAACTCAAGTCAATATCATTTTGTAAATTACTTTTTATTGTAAATCCCATTTTTTCATCTTTGACCTAGGAATGCAGCTCAAACATGCAGCTGCTCAAAACGTCAGTATTTTTTGAAAATATTTCATGGGCATTTTAAACCTTGTACATGTGCAAATCTGCAAAAAAAATATAAAGAAAAGAAATAAAAAATAGGACTTTCTATTTGCTTTTAAAATGTAAATGCTTTTCACTAAGCTGTTTTCCCAGTTTTTCAAGTTCTACATTTTCTCCTTAGCTCCATGTTGCAGTAAGTTTTAGGAGCTAATTTTTAGTCCATCTCTTATGCTGAAAAGTCTGTCTTTTCAGAGACTAACAAAAATGAGCTCCTAAAACTTACTGCCAGATTCTGGAAGATAAATTCTTCAAACAGTGGTACAAGGATGTGGTGCTGGTCCTTCAAGAGTCACTCTCAACTTATCTGTCCATAAAGCCTATAAAAATAGTCTTCATGTATTTCACAACACTTCAGAATGTTATTCTTATTAAGTGAGGGTAATTTTTTAGGATTTTTTACCCAAGCAAAGTCTCTGAGAATCTGACACCTTGTAATTCTGGAGACTCAAGGTTGCAGTTCTGGAAAATAGTGGCAATGGAGACTAAAAGGTTCCTGATGGTTTCACACTTAATTCTTCACATTAATTATTATTTATTTTGCAATTAACATGCTCTTTTCTTCTCCACCTGTTTTTTTCTGACCCCGCTGATCCAATGAGCATTTTGCTGACCAATGGTCATGCCTTAACTTTGAAATTTCTGTATTGCATTAGTTTTTATTATTTCTCATGGGGATTTAATCATTTTTGACTTCTCAGTCTGAGTTAAATCTCTTTTTTGGCTCAAATCATCCGTAGAAGAAAACCTGCCTAATAATTCTGCACACCTTAATAAGGAGTTTTTTATTTCCAGCCTTCATGTACAATTATTTATCACTTCTAAATGATTAAATACTACAATAATAGTAGTTATTAAGATTGATGTGGTTTGGAATTGGTAAAATGTGCTTGGAAAAAAATATGATCAGAATATCAACGTGCCTAATAATTATGCACGCGGTGTCCCTTTACAGTGCGCATGATCGCGAAATCGAAAGTGAACAGAGAGCGCTCATTCAAATGCGATTTCAATACCCCGCATATTGATATATATGATACTCCCTGATGTGCGAAAATAATATACAATATTAGAATGTTTGCAGGAGCGGGACACACACGTTGCGGGAGTGGGTGGTAATGGTCAGAAATTCAGTGGGAGCGGGCTTAAGAAATTTGTCCCTAAGGCTCTAGGCTGCGCATCAACACACGCTAAGTTTTTTTCATGCTACCCCATCTCCACCCCTAATCATTAGTGCCATTTCGTTCTGTCTTTGACAGAACATATAGGACAATTTTTGAAATAGCGCCACAAACAGGGGTTAAAGCAAAAAAAAAATTCTTTTGCTTGAAAATTTTCCCTCCGCCAAACCCCATTACACAGCCATACTTGTCACACAGACAGTTAGAATAAGACAAATAGGTTACCAATCATATGAAATTAGTATTAATAAAAAATTAATTTGTACAGAGGTGGCACAGAAGCACACAAAAGTGGCTTGTAGGTACATTTCCAGACGTTTAATGAGACTCAGAGGTGGCATGAGTGCAATTAATTTCATACATTTATGTGGAGATTAATGTTATAAATATAACATTTTGAATACAGAAATATTAAATTCAATTGATTAGTTTGAACGGCTGATTCATTCAGGAATGAAGCAAGTCTTTATGAATGGGTAATCATGAATCACTGACTTACTAGATTCGTTCAAAAACACACTTACTTTCTAACCTTCAAACACCGCTGTGTTTGCTTTTAGAGATGCAAAGTGGCTGAGCTGTTACTAT